AAGGCCAACAAACAAGTCAGCAGAGCACAGTGCACTCTGTCCTGCAAAGTGCTGTTTCAAGTGGAAGCTACAAGAGATGTTATAGGCAATTGTGATGAAAGGTGCCTGACAAAGGAGTTACTTTAGAGACATTTTGATTGCTCTTAAGTTTGGGAATGGGTAAGGGAGTTCATGCATGCTAATTATTGGGGGAAGAGAGGGTATACATTCTAAATGAGGTCTCTCTGGCCTCTCCCCTCTAGGTACAATGAGAATCAAAATGTCTCCAGACATTGCCAAATGTTCCTTGGGCACAGTCTTCCCCAGTTGAGAATCACTGTACTAGAAAGAAGTCATTTTGGGAGAAAAGCCACTATGTGGGAAAATTTCTATGTCAGTGAGTCGTAAAAGTTTGGAAGTATTTCTTCATTTCAAAGATTTTATTAAAGTGAGTTAATTTACATTTTGCCCAATAGATCTAAATTCACAGTGAAATTTCTGTGAAACTTAGTTCTTTCTGCATGTTCATTCAATTTTTGTTTCTTTGTTGTGGTTGATTAGGTGGATGAGCTTTTACAAAAGTACCTGGACTCTTACGATGTTGTTTTAGTGAAGGAGGAATCTTTGGAGGTAGCCAACTCTGTCTTACAGAAGATTCTATGAAGAACTGTTCTTCAAGAACACCTCTCCTGTGGGTGCATTTTATGCAAGAGCTACTCATCTCTTCATCTGCTGAAGACTCTTATTTATATTTTCTTGTTCTTGAAGTTTTCCTTTCCATTGCTGAAGTATGTTTTCAGACATGCTGAATCCATCAACTAGAAACACCGTTTTCTCCACCTCTCAACACACTCCTCCCCGAACTTTTTTAACAGATTTTTAAAAAAGATCATTAAACCAAAATTTGAAAAAATAATTCCCTACATTTTCAGAGTGAATTTGATAGTTTAATGTTACTGGGAAGTTTCTGAGGAGTCTTTTTACAGTGAGAAAGCTTACAGAGGTTTAAGAAGTTTCATGAAATGTTATAATAATGTTCATGGTTTTAAGTACTGTCATTTTTCTAATTTGGGTGCATTATGCTGATAGTATCACAGTCTTTTGAAGTGTGTTATGTTTGGTTGTTTTATTTGGTGTGAAAATCATTATTTAAGAGAAAACATTGGCACTTGGTGTTTGAAAATCGGTATCCACATTCACTGATCATAAAATGTTTTGAAGCACTGATAATAAACATGAAATGAAAAGTTTTTTTAATTCTGTTGTCAAGGCTGTTTTCATTCTCTTGACAGTTAGGGATTCAGCTCCTGCTGTGTTTTTCTTGTGAGTCTGAGTGTGTTGAGAGTCCCAGTGTCCTTGTGACATGTCTCTTTAAATTGAATGTTCAAATTTACATATAATGAGTTGAAGGATAAAAAGATATTTGCAGAGCAAATTTAATCTGCCCTTCATAAAATACTAGAGAATCTGGAAAAAAATATTTTCCCCATTAAAAATATCTGTAAAACTAAGTCATTTATTTAAGCCTAAGAGTTTCAGAAACAAACACAAGTGGGAGACAAAGGCCTCAGAGTGACTAAAACTGTGGAGTTAGGGACCCATGTTCCTCCTCTTAGTCTGACACCTTGTTCCAAATTTCTGCTATCCCATCATTGATTTACACAGGCTCAGACTTAACCACATCGAAAGTTTGACTGTGACTCTGTTCCTTGAGCTCCACAATCTCTAAGCAACTAATTGGTGCGCTCAAGGCATCTGATCTGTGAGGCTCACAAAGCGAGATGCGGACTGCTTCTGGACATCAGAGAAGTCGGCAGTCTCTAGTTCAATCCGACAAGGCAATGGGGCGAGGTCTCATGATGAAACCCCTTTCCTGGGGCATCCGCTCTTATCCTCCACTACAAACATCTTTTTATAAGCAACTATGAAACCATGCTCTTAATCCTCCTAGGGAGTACTGTATTTCAGCCAGAACGTCAGTTCCAGTTCAACATTTAGGCAATTTAAAAACAAGAAAAAAAAAAGCCAAAGATTCCCTCTGTTTCTGAAACTTATATTTTATTCAGTCAACCTGTCCCATTAGTGTACAGAACCAGCTAGGAATCAGCTCGTATACAGACAGGCTTTATCTTTATGAAGACTCTCAAGGATACCAGAGGCCAAGTGCATCCCCAAGGGCAGCTCAATTTAGCAAGATTACTAGTCTGTCTAATGTACTTATGGAACTCTGGTCACTGGAAAGTCTGAGTGACTATGCTGGGTGGAAGTGAGCTGAGACCCAACAGTGACCACGGCAGCCAGCGCCAGAAAGGCCCTGGGCATTGTCGATGCCTCCCAAAAGCACATGGCATCCCTAAGTTGCTACTGCAAACAGTAAACTGAACATTTGCTTCTTTAAAACAACATTTTTAGGACCATCCCTAGTGGCACAAAGGGTTAGGATGCAGCACTGCAAGCTAGACACAGCCACTTAGTGCAAGTTCAATCCCCGACCCCAGAGGTGATCCACATGGCACGGCCACCTCTCCTGACCCATCGCTGCGCCCCCTCAGCAGTGTACTTCATCAATTTGCCTGTTCTGCTCTCCACTCTGTCTCTGGTAAACCTCATTGCTCCTGCACCTCTGGCCTGTACCCCAGTTCTGTATACATAAATAAAGAAATCTTTCCAAAAAATTTTTTTTTTAATACATGTACTCATTTAGTCTCCATCTGCTCCTGCCTCAGTCATTCTCTTTTCTCTACATCCCAAGAGGTTAGTCTCTGAGAACACCAGTCCCTGAGCTCCGTTCTCCTCTGGCTTCAGATCAGGTGCCAGTTCAGCTAACAGGAGTCCCTGGTGAGACAGACACAGTAGGTATTTCTTCACAGTGGTGCTAGCCACAGTTCTGGGAGTGACTTCAGCCCTCCCAGACACCCACCAGCAGCCCACATGGGCTCTCCTAACCCTCTCCCTTCCACAGGCCTAGAAGTAGAATAGCTTCTTGCTATCTTTGACCAACAGTTGTCGGAGAACCTCAACATCCTTGCTGGGACCCTGAATCCCACCCCAATCTCCACTAGACTGTCTGCTGTGGCTAACTCTGCAGGACCTCAAGTGCACCTGTCCACCCTAGCTGATGTTGTGCATGGGTGAGCACACTTCCCAGTAAGGCCAACAAACAAGTCAGCAGAGCACAGTGCACTCTGTCCTGCAAAGTGCTGTTTCAAGTGGAAGCTACAAGAAGTCCCAGGCCCCGTACAAACACGCACCCCACCCTCTGCATCAGGCACATTTCCTGTTTTTCCCTGCACGTACAGACCCTATATATACCCATGGGCAGTCCTAATGAACAGTCTTTGTACTCCAGACCCCAGGCTCCTGCTTCATTCTCTCCCATCTCCAAGTCTCTGAGTCTCCTACATTCCGGTGAACGTAGCGGTCAGCACACCCCTCGGTGGGTAAATCTGCCAACGTTTTCTGACAGACCCTTTGAACAGGCTTTTGTTCAATTCAAGGGAACACAGTCATACCCAGTTTTTACCAAGAGACTTCTGACTGCATGAAAATGGTCTTAGCCTTTAAATAAAACGCCACAAAGCCACGATGATAAAATTCAATACTTTATATACAAAAGATCAGTTTTCCAACATTAATTCCATTGAATGAGTGCACGGCATTTTCATGAAGTATCTCAGGGCTACATCAGTACAAAATAGTTTAAATTAGTAAAATAAAGCAGTTCCAAAAGAGAAATCATGGTTACTTCAGAGTGAGTGCCACCACCACTGGGGAACAAGAAACATAAGGTAGCAATGCGGTACCAGAAAAGGTGGGGTGTTGGGCAGGTGAGGATTCCTTGTTTTCCCATGAAGAGAGGCCCCCTTCAGGGCTCTGCCCTTTCTAGGACACAAATGTAATCTGTGTATGCTCATCTGAGATGTTGTTTTTGTCTTGGTCTCGGGGAGATAGCTAGAGTCCACCTTAGCCACCAGCCCTTTGTGTATGGTCTGCTCACAGGACTCAGGATGGGTGCGTGTTCTACAGGACAGTGACAGCGATAAGAAAGAGGGAAGCAGGCAATCGTATATGGCAAATGCACAATTTGCTAGTCATAGTCCAAAACGCCTTGTTTTCTGTTCAACTTCTAAGTTCCACTGTCAATTGGAGCAGCACAAGGGGATGAACTGTAAACTGTGTGTGTTTGTGTGTGTGTGTGTGTGTGCTGGGCATCACCAGAGCCAGTGAGGAAACTGTGTGTGTGTGTGCGCGTGTGTGTGTGTGCTGGGCATCACCAGAGCCAGTGAGGACACTTTTCCACCGCTTTCTGGGAAGTTGGCACACCCTGTCTTTTCTGCCCATTTGAAGAATACTTTTAAAATACTGGCAAGTTTAAAAATTTTTTTTAATCCTCCTATGTAGATATCCTGGTCACTTCCTTCTGTTCTCTGCAAGATTTTTGTAACTCCTGTCTGACACTACTTTCCTTTAATAATAAAACTACCCCAAAGGCTCAAAACACTGGCTGGCAGTGCAGCCTTTTCTAGAGTCGACGCATCCCACAATGAGGCACCTCACACCGATTTTGTTTAAGATCCCTGGCAGTAGGCCTAAATTCTCACCGCGTGAACAACCCACCCCTGACATAAGCCCAGGTACACATGACCCACCTACTCCTTGCTGACCGTGCGCTTCTGAGACCCTCGCGCCCTCATGCACGCTCTGCCATGACGGGGCTTGGAGTCACATAGGAGGCTGAGTCCGGTTTAGAGTTCATCGTGTTTGGCCTCCTGGTCTTTGAGTTTAAATTCCTCAGACGTGACCTTTCCATCTCCGTTCCGGTCCTGGTTGGTGAACATATTCTTCACAATCATCTCAGCATCAAAGCCAGGAGCGAGTTTCCCTTTGCCAGATGCCACCTGAGCATGAATGTACTCTGAGAACTGGAGAGGAGGGGACAGGACAAAGCATGAGACCAGCAGCTGAGAACCCTGGGCCCTGACACAGCCTCTGAGGGCGAGGGAGCCGGAATTTGAATCTGAGCTAGCAAAACAGACAAAATCTTATGAGCTACACAACTTGCGGTTTTTTCTCCAGAGGCAGGTTAAAGTACCCTGATAAAGGGCAGCACTGCAGGCGAGCTGCAGCCGCTTCAGCATGAGTTCGATCCCCGTCCTGGAGGTGATCCACATGGTGCGGCAGACCTCTCCTGACCCGCCTGCTGCTCCCCTCAGCAGTGCACTTTGTCAATCTGCCTGTTCTGCTCCCCACTTTGTCACCTCTCACCCACCACATCTCTGGCCTGTACCCTAGTTCTCTAAGCATAAATAAATAAATCTTAAAAAAAATAGACATAAAAGATAAGTAAAGTACACGTTAAATGACAAAGTGTTCCAGAAAAATACAAAAGCAGAGCCAGGCTAGGACAAGCAAGAGTGGAGGTGGTAGAAGCTAAGCAGGAGTCACAGACGGCCTACCAGAGAGCAGCTGCCGACAGCAAGGAACGGATAGAAGGGAGTGCCAGGTGGTGCTGGTGATCTTGGAACCCACAGAAGTGCCCCACAGAAGGAAGAGCAAGCCTCTAGGCATCTGCCTCGCGAGGGTCCTTATGCCAGAGGCAGAGTCACTGGTCACACACACTCTCCTTCCCCTCTCCTGTTGCCTTATGTCCTGTACACCCCGATGCTCCACAGTGGTTAAGGGAGGAGGCGTGGAAAAGCAAGCTGGGGGGATAAGAAGCTAACTGCTCCCATGGGATTCTGAGCCTCAGTGTAGAGAAGGAATTGAAGCTTCGATACTAAACTGCTGGCACTTCTAAGTAAATAAAAGTGAGATTATTAAGATCCATAAGTGAACAGAAATGTTATGGGATCAGCTAGTGCAACCATCCAGAGACGGGGAGAAAATGTCAACACAGTCCATTAGAGGAAGAACAAAGTTTGTGTTTAAAGAAAAAAAAAGAGAGAGAGAGAGTACATGTGGAGTGAGTTAAAGTGTTTAATATGACATTAGGGTAAAAGCCCAGTGAAAAAGGGAAATTTGTGCAAAGGATTGAAGAAGGCCAGGGAGTGAGCCAAACTGTTATCTTGGGGGAGTGTTTTCTGAATAGAGAGATCAGTTGGTACAAGGCCTGGGGTGGGTGTGAACTTGATGTGCTCAAAGGACAACACGGGACAGTGTGCTGGGCAAGTAAGCAGGGGAGAGCAGCTGGAGATGGGGGTGACAGCTACCAGGTTCACAGAGGCTTTGTAGAAAACGTGAGGGGCTTTTACAGGAGCATTGGGCTGGTGAACTTATGGGATCTGGGGACAGTGGACTTCACGGAGGGGACAGAGAGATTCGGTACCATGCCCCAGGTATGTCTTCTACCTGCAGGTTTCTGAGTTACGTCCTTTGTAATAAACCAACAATCCAGTAGGCAAATGAATTTCCTGAGTTCTGTGAGTCACTATCTGACCGAGCTCTTAACATATGGACTCCTGAGGAGGAGTCCAGAAACCTCTGATTTTTAGCCAACCGGTCAGAAGTGCAAATGGCAGCTGGGATTTCAGCTGGTTTCTGAAGTGACTGGCAGTCTGGGAGACTGAGCTCTTAAACTGTGGACTCTGGCACTACCTCAGACTCCCTGCTGGTGTCTGAGGATTGCTTGGTGTGAGGAAGCCTCCACACACTCTTAAGTGGGAACTGGTTCTAGGAACCCTTTCAGCAGGGTAAGGGAGATGTAGGTTGTCTTCCTGACGAGAAATGCGCACCGCTGCCTAGTCTCCAACAAAGCTTCCCTTTCTGAACGGGCCTTAGGCCCGGTAATGTTCACCAGGTGTTTGTACCCCATTGTCCTTCAAAGGTCAGTTACCTCTTCAAGGAGGACTTCGCCATTGCCGTCCTTGTCGATTTCCTCGAAGAGGTTGGGTGACACCTCGTCATTCCATATGAACATGTACCCTTCAGGCAGGCCCGCAACAAGCTCCAGCAGCTCGATGTCAAACACCAGCACAGCGCTGCCAGGAACTTCTCCAGCTGCCTCACCAACAGGGCAGACGCGGGTTAGTGCCCAGGCAGTGATACTGGCTCAGCTCCCCTCCCAACCTGAGGCTCCAGCTACCTGACAGAGGCAGGCATTGCTCATGAAAGCAGAACTAAGCAGGGGTAAGCAGTTTCTCCCGACTGTAGGTGTTCACCACCAGTGAGTCATGAAATCAGTTTAGAGGATGGTGACCAGCATTTCTTTTTTTTAATTAAGGAAGATAATAAAGTAGATCAGGGTATAATGCACATAGGAAAAAATAGCTTTCTTCAATTTTATGTAGAGAATATAGTGTATATGAACACATGTAGAAATTTTAGGTTTATATATAGTAGAGACAGGAAGATGAGATGTATTTCCTACTGTGTGTCTGAAAAAAGTCTGAAAAATCACTAGTAAAGACTTCATTGGTAGAATTTTTGAATAGCAAGATTTTAAAAATATGGTATTTTTTAAAATTAAAATTCAACATGACAACAAACATAAATTTGAGAATAGTATGCAGAGTATGAGGACAAAAGAAGTTGTGTAGCTATGTGAATAAATATGTGTGTATATTCAAATTTATATGTAAATATGCATAATTAAAATTACTAAATATTATGTAATTATATGATAATTCTAAATCTAGCTTATAGAAGCATGGTCTTATAGGACACACAACATACAGTGTTTCTTCTTGGATTGGTGGGAAGAACTGAGCCCACCATGTTAACACTTCGCTTCTCCGCCACCTCCAGACAGAAGGTGCATAAATAAGATGGAAAAAACTAAGGGCTTCCCAAATCCCCATATGGTGGACCCATTCTGGCAACAATTGCAAAGTATACCACAACATAAACCCCACCTATGAGGGCGAAGCAAAGACAATATTTCTGTAACTTGAAACTGAACTCTGCCAAAAGGAAATACTCTTGGCCACTTTGCAGGTTCAGGAGAAGAGGAGCCAAAGAAGCACTTGGCTGCACCTAAGAAAAACTGCATGGAAAGCTCCTTCCGGACATGTCCCACAGGTGGACTTGAAGATGCAAGGCAGGGCCTTCGCTGGTGGTGCAACGGGTTAAAGCCCTATGAAGTTATCTAAGGCCACTGCAGCTTGAGATCAATCCTCAGCCAGGGAGTTACCCACATGGTGTGGCAGACCTCTCCTGTCCTGTTCGCTGCTCCCCTCAGCAGTGTATTTCAATAGATCTGCCTATTCTGCAGCCCACTCTGTCTCTGGTGAGCCCTCTCAATGTCTCTGTACCTCTGGCCTGTATCCTAGTTCTTGTATGCATGAATAAATAAATCTTGAAAGAAAAAAAAAAGCTTCAGGTGAAGATGCAAGGTGCATGCCAAAAAAGCCCCTGCTTTTACAAGAGGGCATGGGGCATTCACATGGCATTAACACTGAGCTCACAGGGATTGTTAAATGAAAATGCTAAATACTTTTTTAAAATAAAGTCACAGAGGCCCTCCCTGATGGTGCAACAGGTTAAAGTGCAGCACTATGAACCTCTCCACAGCTACTGCAGCAGTCCATATGGTGTGGCAGGCCTCTCCTGGCCCGCCCACTGCTCCCCTCAGCAGTGTCATTCAGTACAACTGTCTGTTCTGCTCCCCATTCTGTCTCTGGTGAAATCTCTCCCCCGCACCTCTGGCCTGTACCCCAATATTTGTATGTGTAAATAAATAAATCTTTTAAAAAATCAAGTCGCAGATTCTTCGGATTTTAAATGGAAGAAACTATTGTGACTCTACATATGGCACCCCAAATGTACAAAATACACATGGTGAACAAGCCCCAAAAGCCTTCACTAGTGTTCTTACTTACCCACGCCGGCCTCCCCGTAGCCCAGGTGAGGGGGGATGATCACTGTCCGCTTCTCTCCCACACACATCTCTCTGAGACCCATATCCATTCCCAGTACGACTTGTCCAGATCCCAAAACGATATTATACGTTTTGCCTAAATTCCACCTACAAGCAAAACAAAGGAGTCTCTGTGTAGCTCAGGAGCCCACAGGTACTTGAGGGTGTTCTCTTCCATGATCCTTCTGCCAAAGACACAGACGCCCTTGCCAATCGTGAGGACACATCGGAGGCCATTTGGTAAAATTGCCACCTGTAATCTTCAAAAGTGTCACAGTGAAAACCAAGGAAAGACCAAGGAACCGTCCCAGAGTATTGGGGCACATCCGTATTGGGGTCCTTTTACATCCTGCAAAAGTTAAGTGGGGTTGTAGGGTTATAAGGTAGTAAATGCCCTGAGTTTCACTTATGTGTTGAATTAACATACGTAGGTGATTTCCATGTTTGTAGGAAGGACATACTAGAATGTTCAGAGTGATGGGACCTCATGGTGGCAACCTTCTTGCCAATGGTTTCGGAAAGAAAAAGTTCTTTGTCCTGCTCTTGCAAAATTTCCCTAAATTTTCATCAGTGTTCATCGGCAAAAATTTCCATCCATTTTTTTTTTTGATAATTTCTTAAAGATTTATTTATTTATGTGTACAAGAACTGGACTACAGGCCACAGGTGCAGGGGGGTGAGAAGATTCACCAGGAACAAAGTGGGGAACTAAAACACACTGCTGAGGGGAGCAGCAGGTGAGACAGGAGAGGTCTGCTGTGCCATGTGGGTCACCTCCCTGGCCGGGGACTAAACTTGTGCTTCAGGGGCTGTAGACAGCTTCATAGTACTGTTGTTACCAGTAGCCCAGAGTGGACTGGGCCGCCTGTCTGTGGGGTCTCACCTGCGCACTCACAACTCAGTTACACTGCAGGTACACACAAAAGGGGAAAGGAATAGGAAACAACCCAGGGAAAGAGAGCAGGTACAAAGTAACTGGACTACCTTGCGGCTAGGTTGACTTAACACACTGAGTCACACGGTCAGGAGAGTTGCTTTTCCTGAGCCACCAGGAAGCCCCTTAATGAGTTTTTTAAAATAAAATTTTAAGGTAGTTCAAACCCCAGGTTTTAGATTCAATAAGACCTGAGTACCTGAGTTTGAATTGTGGCTCCACCACTCAGCTTCATCCTGACCATTTAATCTCTCAGTTTCCTAACCCCAAAAGTGGATATAATAGCTACCTGACAGGGATCTTCCAAATAATAAATAATGTTTAGCTTGGCACTGCAGAGAGCAAGTATAAAGGCTGAATAAATGGATGGTCTGGAGGGTATAAAGTGCTTATATCTATAATCATCTGACTTCTGAAAAATAACAGAGAGTTTAACTAGGGTCAAGGAGTCTAAATTCTCCTTGATGGCCATGGTCCCTGGGAAACTCAGATGAATAAAAGTTTGCTCTACCACCTCAGCCACTGCTGAAAATAAGTGTTTTCAAGTATTTGTGTGCCTTTCACTCCCTACAGACAAAGTGGGGGTACATTCTTCAATGCCAAGGAAGAAACCCCACCCCCACGAAGCCCCCTGGCTGCCCATCACTAGGTGATGGTGACACAGTAGCCCACTTGGGTCACCTGCCCTTCTCACGCCTCCCTGGGCACAGGGCTGCGCCTGTCTCCCCTCATGCCAATCTCAGAGGCATCTGGCCCTCTGAGGCCAGCAAACCAAAATAGGGTCTGCATTTGTCCTACCTGGGATGAAACTGAAACAGCCAACTCTGGCACAGAACAGCTTGGCCCAAGGCCCACGGGACGGCCATCCGGACCCTACACAATCCCTCCTTTGTCAGCAGCACACAGGCGCCTTCACACAGCTTTACTCCAGGGACCACTGGGCCCCTCCCTCCCTCACAAGTCCTCGGCTTCCAAGTCTTACAGAATATTTAGGAGCTGATTGAGTTATCAAATAACAAATGTTTATTCTTCCTCTCTGGGGCCAGTTTAAGCACACATGAAAAAGTCCTCCAAGTAAACACTTGGTTTTCACGTGCCACCCCTGAAAACCCCATTAATTCTTTTTCCTCAGGACATCCTTTATTTTTTATGCCAGATATTTCTCTCAGACATTCTCCTCACTCCTCCTGCACATTCTGGCCTTCCCATCCCTCACAGCCTTCCTGCCTCCTGCCTGCAGGCCAGCCTCCATGATTCTTTACTTGCAGTCCCCTCTATCTCTCAGAAGCCAGCTTTCTTGGCCCAGACAAACAAGTACCCAAGGCAGCATCTGCCTCTTCACTTCTAGAGACCTCTGGAGCCCAGGGAGGGACTGGGAGTCACCTTCCTAAGGGGATCCTCCCACCACACACAAGTAAGCAGAGGCCTACCGTACCTGATGTTATCCCATCATTCTGAAGCTTCCATCAAGAAGAGACCTGCTGAAAACAAATCTGTTTTCAAATATATGTGTTCCTATCACTCCATAAAGGCAAAGCAGGGGTATGTTCTTCAATGCATGTAGCTCTTCCATGTAGGCTTACATGTAACACAGATGACACTCACAGACTGGAGTCTTGGGTAAGCAGAAGGAGCTTTTCATGCAAGAATGCTGTGAAGCCACCAGGCATATCAGATGACAGGAAGACGGATCCCCAACCCACATGAGAAGCATATGCTGAACACACTGGGAAGGAATTCCTCTGTTCATTTTCCAACCCCACTTCTTCTCTCCATGGGCACAGGAATGCTATATATGAGCATAAATGTTAGCTGGGGCAACTGACCTTATAGACTGTTTTCAGCTTGTGGACCACTGTCACATGCATAAGTTCACTGGATCCCCCAAACAACTAACTACCAGTCATGTCTTTCTTCCTCACTGCACTCCAAAGCTTTAATACTTCAGTGGTTGGGATTTCTTTGTAGTCAAGTTTGTTATAAGCCAGATCACTATAATTCTAGGCCCCAGAAATTAGTATATATTTTGCTGATTATATATTTTCTATATATTCTAATTTGAATACATTTTGAAATTGATGGCACACCATTATTTTAGAATAGCATTTATTCTTTCTTAGCAATGTACAAAATAATGGTGTTTATAACAATCAACCATCTTAGTCGATTTGATGAAATATGCTATAGGCATTAATATTTAAGATCTTGTGGGCCAGAGAGTGTTCTGAAGAATATAACCCAGAGTTTGTCTCTTCATGCCTGGGTTTTAACACACACACTCTGTTACCTGAAGCTGTAAGGCAGAAGGATGGGTAGCGAGGAGAGAAAGCCTTCCTTATTTAAAATAAACGCAATAACATACTTATTTACAGGAAGACCTTCTTGCTTCCTAGAAACAAAATTGGGGATCTAGGTCACGCTTACCACAAAAAAATGGGTAAACTTATGTGAAATATAAAGCAAGGTTTAAAAAGTTGCTTTCCCAGAAAAGGAAAAATACCAGATGGTTTCACTCATAGCAGGAATATAACGGATGAGACAAGAAAATAACAATAATAATGAACAGCTATATACCAGAGACATTTTATGGGGTGGAGAGGGGAATGGGATCAAAAACAGTGGGGGGAAGAAAATGCACTGGACTATGGTGATGGCACATGGGTGATCAGGTGATGGGAAGCCCACAGGAGATTTCAACTGAGATGGAAAAAGGCACAAAATGATGTAAAAATAAACTATTATATTAATTTAAAAAAAGTTTCTTTCCCAAAGAAAAGAATATTGGGATGTTCCCTGGTGGCACAACAGGTTAGGACACAGCACTGCAAGCTAGCCACAGCCTCTTCAGTGCAAGTTCAATCCTCGGCCCTGGAGGTGACCTACATGGCACTGCAGACCTCTTCTGACTCGCCACTGCTCCCCTCCGCAGTGTCCTTCCTCAGTTGGCCTGTTCTGCTCCCCACTCTGTCTCTGGTGAATCTTTCTCACCGCCCTGCACCTCTGGCCCGTACCCCAGTTCTGTATGCATAAAGAAATCTTAAAAAAAAAAAAAAGTGAGATATAGATCCTACAGGGGAGGGGGACAGAGAGGGATCAGAAGGAGGGAAGAATGTGGAGGGCTATGGTGATGACGGGTGGGGGGTAAGAAAACATTGTAAAATGAACACTAATGTAAATAGATAGATAAATTTTAAAAAATGTGAGATGTCCCTAAGATATTCAGACCAGCAGCAGAATTGGAAGCAAAATCAAGTAACTTAAAAAGTAGGCAATACAAAAACTATGAGGCTATGGAAGTAGCCACAGTTGAGTCTTCCTTGGAATTAAGGAACAATTTTGATAAAAGGGAGGAGATTTAATCCACAGCAGATACTGACAAGGACGCGGTAGCGCACAGCCTGTACCCTGCACGTGGCAGCCCTGGGAGACAGGATGTGGCCCCAGTAGATGAGACCAGTGAGGCAGAGCAGAGCCGACAACGAGCCTGATGTGCCAGACTTTGGAGTTTGGACTTATCTGTGGGTTAATTTTTAAAGGCAGCAGTTATAGGATGAGATTTGTTATTCAGAAAGACAATTTCCATAGGAGTAGCATGAGATCATCCAGAGAACTCTTAAAAGTAAGTTCCCGAGCAGTGATGTGGGCCTGAGCTATGTGCTGGGGAAGCTCTCTCAACCCATAGCTAATGAACAGAAAAGCAGAACAGCATGAGGACACACACTTGAGCCTCCAGGCTCACTCCCCCACCGTCCAGCTGCTCTTACGTGGAATCCAGCAGGGTCCCGTCCAGAAGAGAGGCGTTGTAATGATACTTCAGGAAATCTCCCTTCTTACTCAGCACAGAGCAGTCGGGGGGCTTGTAGTGGGAGGTGATGCTGATGGAGTCTGAAGGGTTGTGGAAGTCAATCACGTGGATGTCAAACACCAGAACAGCTGAGCCGGGGATGTTCCCTAAGGGACAGATACAGGAAATGAATGAATGTGCCCTCCACACTGCAGCAGTGTGCCTCCCCAATATCACCAGGCAAGCTTTGCAGACCTCCAGTAAGGAACTTGGAGACCCAGACAGGAAAACTCAGGGAGTGCTGGGAGAATGAAGCTGGAAGGCTACCACAAGTAACCTAACCCTCATTTTCCAGATGGGGAAATTGAAGCACAGATTTGCTCATGGTCACATAGCCAGTTAGGAACAGTTTGGACTAAAATTCCAGACAATGGGTTACTGCGCCATGAAATTGTTAAGCCTGAAAGATTAATGGCTAAATTCATCACAGATGAAGAAACGAAAGCTCAGCCATATTAAATAAAGCTCATTGCCTCCCACTGGACGTAAGAGTTGAAATCAGAAAAAAAAGTCAGCTGGAAAGTAGAAATTACTTCAGTGACCTACCATAGGGCAGGAAAAGACTCCCCAAATGAGCCCATTCATAACCCTTATGATAGGACCCCTAACAGTTCACCAAGTGCTTTTATAATACATTCTGCTTTGGCCTTCCCTGGTGGCACAATGGGTTGGGACACAGCACTGCAAGTCAGCTGCAGCCACTTCAGTGTGAGTTCAAGCCCCACCCCCGGAGGTGATCCACATGGCACGGCAGACCTCTCCTAACTTGCCTGCTGCTTCCCTGAGCAGTGTACTTCATTGATTTGCCTATGCTGCTCCCCACTCTGTCTCTGGAGAAGCCTCTCAACACACCTGCACATCTGGCCTGTACCCCACTTCTGTATGCATAAATACACTTTAAAAAAATACATCCTACTTGTTTATATGAATTTAATATAACTTTCCATTACCTCCACTTTTGAAAACATTTGTCTCACATATGAATAATGTTTACCATTTACAAAAGCATTTTTCATGCACATTCTCTTAATAAACCTCTGTGGCAACTCTGTGAGGAAAGCATTACCATTAATCCTGGATTAGCAGACACTCCATGAATTTAATGCCAGTTTCTCAGGGGTGGAAGGACACCTTAAATATATGCATTAATTATTAAGCACACGCCTTGATCATTTCAAAGCTTAAATGTAGAAGTTTTGTAAAAGTGTGATGCAGAATCAAAGATGTATATTTCCACAAGCATTTACAGATAAGAAAAAAAAATACAAATTGTTCAAACAACCACTGCTATAGACAGATATTAAACAGAGACATACAAACACCCACAGCCCCTCCCTGACCCCCCACCCCTGCCCTGTAGCTTTCTGGGTCTATTACTTGGCTGCTAATACACACACGCTTAGTGGATGCTTTCTAAGTACCAGGCACTCTTCTAAGTGCTGTAGATATATTATTTAATTATCACTGTAATCCTGTATTCTTAATCTACAGATAAGTAAACCTAGGCACAGATTTGGGGGCTTGCCCAAAGTTACTATGGTAGGAATTAGAGAAGCACGCACCTTCCTTGCAGATCACAGGCACCTGGGAGTGCTCAATGTTGGGGAGTTGCTGGCATGGCAGTGCAGGGTGTGGCAGCTTTTTCACAGGAACAGGTATAGGAGGTGGCTCTAGGAGGTGGCCCATAGTCAGGGCCCAGGGCAGCTCCAGGTGGAAAACTAGCACGGGGTGAATGGTTGTGGCACTTGATCAGTGGTACCTTTAAAAACAACTGGGGTTGACCAAATGCCCAAAAGTAGATGACTAGGCCCTCCCTGGTGGCGCAGTGGGTTAAAGCACAGCACTAAGAAGCTAAAGCCACTTCCACATGAGTTCGAATCCCCTCTACCCCGGAGGTGACCACATGGCGCAGCAGACCTCTCCTGACCCTCCCGCTGCTCAGTGGTGTACTTCGTCAATCTGCCTGTTCTGCTCCCCACTCTGTCTCTGGTGAATCCTCTCATCCTCTGCATCTCTGGCCTGTACCCCAGTTCTGCATGAGTAAATAAATAAATCTTTAAAAAAGAAAAAAGTAGATGACTGGACCAAAAAGATGGAATATTACTCAGCAATCAAAAAAGATAAACTCATGTCTTTTGCAGCAACATGGATGGAGCTGGAAGGGATCATGCTTAGTGAAATAAACCAGAAAGAAAAAGAAAAATACAGGATGGTTTCACTCATAGCAGAAGCATAAAGGACAAGGAGGGGCAAAATAATAATAATGATTAACAACTACATACCAGAGACATTTTACAGGGGTGAAGTGGGGAATAGGATCAAAAATGAGGGGGGAGTGCACAGGACTATCTGGTGATGCCACACAGGTGACCTGGTGATGGGAAGTCCATGGGGATTACAACTAAGGTGGAAAAAGGCACAAAATGATGTAAAAATAAACCGTTATAATAATAAAAAGATAAAAACTGGGGTTGAACCTTGAAAAGGTGAAAGAAGTCAGAAACAAAATCATACCATATGATTCTACTGCTATGCAGTGTCCAGAACATGCAAATCCACAGCCGCAGAAGCTAGACCAGTGGTAGTCAGGTGTGGTTTATGTATTTGTGTATGTGTGTGTGAAGCAGAGAATTATAGCTTCATTAGTATGGGTTTCTTTCTGAATGATGAAGTGTTACAGAATTAGAAGGTGGTAATGTTTATACAACCTTGTGAATATACTAAAATCCACCAAATTATTTATTTTTAAATAGTGGATTCTATGTAATGTGAATTAACTCAATAAAAAATTGAAATGAAAATTTATTCTAGTATATACCCAAAAGAATAATAGATCTGTGCACCGATGTACATTGCAAAATTATTCACATGATAAAGTAAAACATCATTATTGTTGTATTTTACATAAAACATACAAAAGAATATTACTCAGCCACAAAATGCACTTAAATATTAATATCGGTTAAACTATGGGTGGGTCCTGAAAAGTTAAGTAAAACAAACCATACAGAGAGCGAACAATGAAGGATTCCACACCTAGAACGGGCAAACTGATAGGGACAGAATAGAACGATGGTAACTGGGGCTTAGGGGAAGAAGGAGAGTGCAAGTTATTGTTAGTGGGTACAGAGTTTCTTTGGGGAATGATGAGAAGGTTTGGTATGACAACATGGATAATCATTTAGGACCTTATGCTAGATAAGTCAAAGAAGGAAAAATGATACCATGTATATGTGGAACCTGAAAAAGTTGAACTTAGAGTAAAATAGTGGTTACAGGGATGAGATTCTGTTAAAGGGGACAAACTTGTAACTAGTAGATAAATAAATCCTTGCGATCAGATGAGCAATGCAGTGATTGCAGGTGACAATATTGTATTCTAAACATCAAATGTGCTAGGAGCCATTAATTATTCCCACCACAAAAAAGGAAAGATAATTCTAGATGGTGATAGAGGTGCTAACTAATGTTAAGCTGGCAACACTACAGTACATAAATGTATCAAAACAATATGTGGTATACCTTAAACTGCCACCTGATAGGTCAACTATATTTCAATAAAGACATATTTTTTTTAAGTTTTGAACATGGACATAGTGGAGATGTTAATATGACACTGTGAAAATATTCAATGACAATGAATGGTACACTTACAACAGCTTCAAATAGTAAATATATGTATTTTACTACCATTTAAAAAATAAATCAAAAGTCAGTTTATTCATAGAATAAGAAAAATCAGAAATCGAACAAAAGAGGATCATTAAATTAGGAGGATTATTAAATGTTTTTAATGGGAGCGTTAAAAACAATGTCAATGCCACTTCTCCAAAGAGTAAATGCAGATGGCCAACAGGCATATGAAAAAATGTTCAACATCACTCGTAATAAGG